TGGAATAATGAATTCCGCATGTAAGTCTAAATAGCATTGTAAATCCTGAAACATTTATAATGCCGTGCACGTGTGTATAAATGTCGTGTCATGCATAGGTATAGGTGTTCGTAACATCATCAAGCCTCTGAGGACATCCCATCATATCATCTCGTCCAGTGTGGGCAAAATCATCAATATATACCAGCTGATCAGGTGGTGGTGCGTATATAATGTCGTAACCTTTTTTCCATATCCCATATACATATAATATAAGCATATATAACGACATCTGGTCATGGGTCAATGTACATGTATAAGTGAATGAAATGCCATAGAAATACGTTAATAAGATTTTCTCGGAACGTTATAAGATTATTATACCTTTCGGATAACTTTATCAACTACGTATTTTTTCTGAGACCCATGAACAAATGATATAATGATAATTCACATGGGAGATCAAGAACATAGGCATCCTTAGTAATTCTATGAATAGAGTTGTTTATGAAAGTGTGCATTTTCTCGTTACGTTTGTATCATACAGATCATGCCAAAAAGAAATAATGGATAGCCTTAACATACCTGAACCGATTCTCTTGACAATCCCTCCAACACACGTTAATTGCGACAAAACACGTGACGACAAGATCGGAGTAGGGAAAAATCCGTATGATATTCTTGAGAAAGATTGCACGTACTCCCTTATAATTGCAAAATTTCACGTTTTGAATTGTCAGAAAACCTATGAAATCTTACGTCTTGAATTGTTGAAGAATCTATGGAATCTCACTTTGCTTTCATGAAGTTATCTTGCTGAAGCCTTTTTGGATATAGTACACCTTCATTTTTGAATTGGAGAATGAATCTTAGTCTTGGTGGTGTGGGCCCATCTTTCAAGACTTGTGTCACATTTATTCCTTAAAATGTGACACTTTTCACTCTTTATTGAGAGTCATTAGATCGGAAGGGGCTGCTGCCACGTTTTGGGGTGTTAATTCATCCAAAATCTATTATTATCTAAAGATTATAATTAATCTCCCACTAAAAATCATTAATTACCCATTTATTCGCATAATTAAGGATTATCTCAAATTACTTAAAATATTACTCATGTAACACACTTTATGTACCCTAATATCATGGTCATAGGGTATCTTGTATGGAACTAGTCTATAAACACCGGGTATTATGGCTCGGATCGTATTATATCCCAAATTGACCACCTTCAACGAAACTCATTTTCTTTGATTCGTTTACCCTTTAACCTTAACAGCACTTATTTATCGCTTGTTATAAATGCATAAATGCTTATAACCTCAAGATAATCTCATCTCGGTGTCTACATCGATTATCTGAAAACGGAACTTTAACGTACGAAAACCCGAGATGTAACATCCCCCCCCCCTAGAAACATTCGTCCTCGAATGTTTAACTTCTCGGGATCCATATAAATTTTAGCAGGGTCGCCTTTGTAATAGTACAATAGTGAGTAATCATATTGGAAAGAGGCAGTCAATAATGAGATAGAATCCATATTAAGTAATCATACCTGGGAATTGGTTGATCTTCCTCCGGGAAATAAACCTTTGGGTTCTAAATGGATTTTCAAAAGGAAAATGAAAGCTGATGGTACTATTGACAAATATAAGGCAAGATTCGTTGTTAAAGGGTTTAGACAACGAGAAGGTCTTGATTACTTTGACACATACTCGCCGGTAACAAGGATTACATCTATCCGGGTGTTAACAGCGTAAGCCGCCGTGTATGACCTTCAAATCCATCAGATGGATGTAAAGACGACCTTCTTAAATGGGGATTTAGAGGAAGAAATATATATGGAACAACCTGAAGGGTTTGTAGTCCCCGGAAAAGAAAAGAAGGTGTGTCGACTTGTCAAGTCACTTTACGGACTAAAACAAGCACCAAAACAATGGCATGCGAATTTTGACCAAACAATGTTGTCAAATGGTTTCAAGATCAATGAGTGTGACAAATGTGTTTACATTAAGAATACTCCAAATCAAATAGTCATTGTTTGTTTATATGTGGATGATATGTTGATAATGAGTAACGTTATTTCTAACATAAATGCTAATAAGCGCATGTTTACTAGTAAATTTGATATGAAAGACTTAGGAGTTGCAGATTTAATTTTGGGAATCAAGATCCTACAAACTCCTCAAGGTCTAGCTTTGTCTCAATCTCATTATATTAAAATGGTTCTTGAAAAGTTCAAATATTTGGAATTTAAGAAGCAAAAACGCCAATTGATTTAAACCATATTCTTGCAAAGAATAAAGGTAAAAGCAAATCTCAATTGGAATATGCTCGAGTGTTGGGAAGTTTGATGTACATTATGAATTGTACACGACCTGATATAGCTTGTGCAATAAGCAAGCTTAGTCGATACACAAGTAATCCCAACCAAGCTCATTGGATAGCAATGAAACGAGTCTTGGGATATTTGAAATATACTCAAGACTATGCAGTGCATTACAATAATTATCCCATAGTTATTGAGGGATATAGTGATGCAAATTGGATCACCGGATCAACGGAAACAAAATCCACAAGTGGATACGTTTTAACTATTGGTGGGGAAGCAGTGTCTTGGAAGTCGTCGAAACAGACATGCATCGCTCGCTCTACAATGGAGTCTGAGTTTATAGCTTTAGACAAGGCCGATGAAGAAGCTGAATGGCTCCGGAATTTCTTAGAAGACATTCCTTTTTGGCCCAAACCTGTGGCACCTGTATGCATACATTGCGACAGTCAAGCAGCAATAGGAAGGGCTGGGAGCGTTATGTATAACGGGAAATCTCGTCACATTCGACGAAGGCATAATACTGTTAGACAACTACTCTCTAGTGGAATTATCACTATTGATTATGTAAGATCAAAGGATAATGTGGCGGATCCGCTTACAAAAGGCCTAACTAGAGAGGGAGTTGAGAAGTCATCAAAGGGAATGGGACTATGGCCGAGGACAAGTCACTATGGCGGTAACTCTACCTAGAAGACTGGAGATCCCAAGATCTAGGTTCAAGGAGATCAAACAAAGTCATTAGTGACGGTTCAACATTGTCAAATAAAATTTTGGTCCATTCTCGTGACGCAGACAATGTTCAGTACCAAGGATAAAGCGTTAGGGATTTTTTAATGATTTCTAAGTTTGATATGGGGTATATCAAATAGTGTATCTACGGGATAACACGTTTAGGAATCACATATATAAGTGTGAAGTGTAAGCCGCTTCAAAGAGAATGTTGTAAGGCCAATTCTCTATGCACTTATGAAACCAGGCGGTGTTCATGGCTAAAATGAACACAACAATGAGAACCAAAAGATGGATAAGGATTAATTGTGTGACATATGTTGTCTAGGTATACACTAAAGCTCGACGGTTCAAAGATATCAAATCTACCGATTGACCCGAGTATATCCGATATATGCTCACTACGGAAAGTTCAAAGGGAAACCTACTTATCCCGATGCAATTAGTCCTTAGTTGCGAATCACACAAAAAAATTTTTGCATGTTCATCATTCCCCATTCATGTGGGGGATTATTGGGGTTGAAGTGGTAGTGTGAATGGGAAATGAGGAAAGAAGGTGAAAAGGCAACTTTGGCTTTTGCACTTTGTCCCTCATTGGTTAAAGACAAGTATTTTGTTGGGTTTAAATATAGAAGCACTTCCTTAAGCTCTTAAAAGGAGCTAAGAGGAAGGGGCCTCGCGCCGTCGCCGTCGTCGTCGCTCGGCTTCGGCTTCGGCTTCGGCTTCGGCTTCGGCTTCGGTCAATTGATATGATTGATTGACTTAATTTTTTTGGACCAATAAAATGAAATTAATTAATTAAATATTAATATTTTATATTAATATTTTGAATGACCGTTATTTGTAACGTTAAATTAATTAATTTCCGTCTTTAATTTTCCCGCGTTAATTAAACAGCCACCAAAGAGAGGTGGCACGAATAGCCACCAAAGAGAGGCTGCATTTCACGAATAGCCACCTGCAGTGTGAACAGCCACTTTCACACCTTTCAATCCAAAATTCGTTGGCTATAAATAAGCAACCTCCTTCAGAATTTTTCATCCTGAAATCTTCTGCTTCATCTTCTTCTTTCTGCATCATTACTTTCAAAACAAAGTAAGTCAAGGTCGTGTGATTTTCACCATTATTTTGAGTTCGCTGATAACTTAGTGGTTTGAAGTGCCGCTACCGCTAAGTTGGAAGTTCCGTTCTATCCTGGGAAGAATTTATCCGTTAACCTTGGGCAACAGTGAAGGGATAAGATTCTTTAAGGACACACAAGGAATTTGTGGGCTCGGAGCATAATTCTGCCATTTCTGTTCATTTACTTTTTTCTCTTTTTTTTAGTCACTTAAAAATTTCATATTGTATAACATCCCCTTCGTTACCTCAACCTCTTTTTCAGCATTGTAATATTTTTTTTTCGAGCTTCATTTAGTACTCTCTGGACTCTCCAGTGCCTTTCTTTTGAATTATAACCTTACCCTCTTTTTGCATTCGTAAACAAATGGTTAATCAAGTACATCTCAACATCAAATTAGTCTATTCAAGTCCATATCTTTCCATTACTAAATAAAACATTCAAATGATTCATCAGACTTAAATTATTTTTACACTAAACGTTAACCAAACACAGCTCTCTTATTTTATCCAAGTTTAAAAATGGCTAGACTTTGCAAAAGGAACATAAGCAAAGTTAACTGTAAAGTAATGGAATGGTAGTACATGAAAAATTATACAGTACTAGGAAAACGCAGTTCAATATTACTACAGCGACTAATAGATAGATAGATTTCATGTTGGAAGAACAAATAGTTGAGCAATCTTTTAGCTTAGTTTTGTAAGTTTAGGTTACTTACAGAGGAGACATATAAAGCTACTTTAGTATGTCAATATACAGTTCTTATTGGCAGCAGTTAATTACTGTAATATCCACAGAAAGCTTCTCCTACTCAGGACCTAAGTGTGATTAAACAGAAAGTCATCAAGGGAAATAAATACTAAGTCATGCACACCATATAAACCTCGAGATCCTGCTTATGATCATACATTTCCAAGTGCCCCTATTAACTTGGTGAATATGTCTTTCACAGGGACGCATGTAACATAAGGCAGAGTCATGTCATCTTTTACAGCATTCTTGTCACCTGCATCATGGTTGCACTTTTGTCCATCGCCACGAAAGAATGTTGTTGGTCCGTTGTTTGACATGTTCGGCTTCTTAGATGCAGAAGAGGTTGTGTAACAGACAGGAGTTCTCTTTGAAGTTCTCCAAACAAGTTGAGGCATTCTTCTCTTGTTTTTCAGCTGATCCGAGCTCCCTTTCTTAACAAGAATTATTTCAGAACTATCATCTAATACTTCTATGTTGATGGGGTGCCCTACAATTGCCTTTCCGTTTAATCTACTCATTAAAGAAACAAGAGGAGTATGCTCTCCTCTATAGGTGCCTTGAACTGTCATATCCACATCTATTAATGTCTTCCGCGTGCACGTGGTGAACTTTGAACTAAGGCTTTGGCTGCTGGCTTCCTCTGAGAGACAGTTTCCTGGACTAGGCCGAGATTTGTGATTGACACCCCTTGATTCAATACCAGTTTCATTAGTTGAAACAACTAATCTGCTCCTACAATGTTGAATATGCATTTTCCTTTTGTTGACTGCTGGACGACTGATCATCTTTTTTGGTCGCAATGTATAGTAACCTGAATTTTCACAATAGATCAAAACAAATAGTATCCAATCAATAGCTTGGTCTTGAAACTATTCTATAACTATTGAAGTGCTCTTCCAATCATTCAGAAGGAAAGGAAAGATGTCTCCAATATGTGATTTACTCCAATGATTGTTAAACACAAATCATATGATTATTCTTAGATGTAAAATTTTCTAGAATTGAAGTCACCTGTAATGGCATTTCAGTGCCATCACCGATGTAATTATAACTCAAGCAAATTTAGCTATTTCGGAACTGGTGGGCATTATTATTATTGAGTAGAAATATATTATGTTAAATATATGAGAAAGACAAGAAGTTAGATTACCATTAGAAGGATTATACAGATACATGTACACAGCTCCATAAGACCGATTGATTATACAGGTCGAGCTAGAGATGAATCTAATTAAGTAAAGACAGATACAGCATCCTCAAAGATGATGTTTCAAAACCATAAACAAAGAAGCAGAGGAGAGGATAAACATTAACCTGCAGATGCAGTTGTCTCACTCTTTGATGATTGAGAATGAACTGATTGCTCCAAAAATGGTCTGTTTCTCTTGGCTCTCTCAACACTTTGACCATCTTTGAATCCAGAAAAAAGTAGTGTAAGAGGTCAAATAACTGAAATTTTACCAATTACTAGTAACAAGGAATTGGCAGTCTAGCTAGTATATATACAAAGTCCCATATACCTGGCATTTTCAGTTTCTCCTGTTGTTGCTTCTCAAGTTGAAGAGCATGAAGAATTGCATCTTCTCGAAGTGCATACTTGAGTTTTTTATTAAACGTAAAAACCTTGGATGATTCGGCCTTTTTGATACAATCATCAAACTCACCACATCGAAATGCCTTTACGCGACTGGACTTCTCCAAGTTGTACCAGTACCTGGTAGTAATGTAATTTGTTACACACTAACATGATTTGCTGATCCTAAATCAACAAAATATTACTATTAAAGAAAAAAGAACAACAACAAATATGGCATAGTTATTATCCTTTTCTCTGTCCAATTTACAAAAAACATCAACACAAGAGAAGTTTCTATGATTAGGACACAAAGGCCAAAATTCCATTTCATAACATTCTAGCTTATTGTCTAAGAAGCAAAACAAAATAACATTTTACCCTCATTTCTCGAGCATAAAAACATTCAGGAAATGGTAAAACGAGATATTATGCTCTCTTTATTCTTATATTTTTTTAGCAAGCTGTTCATGTTAAAACTTAATGTTTTTCTAATTTTTACCAAGTAAAAACAAAGGGGTACTCAAGAATTTCATATTCCAGCTTCTAACAACACAGAAAGCACACAAAAAAAATAAGGAGATAAGACATACACAGAAGCATTATCTCGACCAAGAAGCTTGATGGGAAATCTTGAACTGAAACTATTAGGAGAAAAAATCCTAGTAGTTGAGATTTCCATTTTACACAGTATTTTCCCTGGCCACCATGTTCCATTTTTCCTCTGCACCCAAACTATACTTCCTGCGCTGCAGGTTTTTTTTCCCATTTTTCTCTTCTGAAAACCACAAAAAGCACAAGATTTCATAAGTTTATCTGCTAGCTTGGTATTAGTACTACTACTACTACATCGTTATCATAAAGAAAGTTGCAGCGCCAAGAATAAAGCATGGCGCTCTGCTACCTGTATTTTTCTTTTTTGAATGTACGATAAACGTACCGTTGCCTCTCTTTTTTGGTTTGTCTTTTTCTAAGATGATGGAGGGAAACTATTGTGTGATACTGTATCACGAGTATCAAGTTTTGTATTCTAAAAAATGTACTACATCACTTTAAATTTTGACTGATTGGAATCTCTCTTTTAAAAGACACAATTGGAACTCGTCCGGGCTCGCTCTGAAGCGCAGCACTCGTAAAATGCCCCTAGGCTTATGTGTAGGGCTTAGTTCCGTAAGACTTACGTCTTGGCCGTGGGGGCTTACGCCCTGAATAGGCCCAACGCCCAGCGTACTGGGCTCGCCTAATAGAACTTGGGATACTTACACAAATGTCCCAAATAAATCTCAACTTACTAACCTCTAGCCATTAGTCATAAACTTACTAAAACTAGCCAACAAAAATTGAAAAACCAAATAATAGGGTTCTTTCTCTCAAAGAATTATATGCAAAAATCACCTTCCATATTTTTAAGCGTGACTAGCAACACTAGATACAAGACGGAAAGGAAATTTCATGGATGAGATAGCAAATAAGGTGATGAAATACAAAAATATATACAATATTTCAAAAATCTAAACAAAAAAGGAACTTTTTCAATGGGTATAGTTAAAATTCATTGAAAATATATAGATAAGTCAATATACAAAATTTGAGGAAGATTGGAGGTGATTTGGACTGGTTTAGTATCAAAATTCGTAATTAAATCCTGTTCTTCTGCGACAGATGTGTCATACATGTATCACGCATGTATCTCACACACAAGTATACATGGATATACATGTGATAGATAATTGATACAAAATATGATACATTTGTGATACACAAATGATACACAGTGTGATACACATATCATTTTTTTCATGTTCAGTTTTTACTTCGAATTTTCAATTCAAACCACCTCAAAACTTCACCAAATCATCCCAAAACTGAGATTCAAGCTCCTTAAGTTGTGCCTAATCTATTCTAATAGCACTCATTCAAAACAAATCAAAAAATTGATATTTTTTTGCTACAAATAGCTAATTGGCTAATTTGGCTAATATTAGTAATATTTTATCACTTGACCAATTTTTGTAATGAGCTACTTATAAATGGACATAGCTGGTAATTTTCATTTATGCAATTGTGTGTAACTAACCTCGTAAATCCTCAAATTTTCTTAATAAATTGTTGACTATTCAAAATTACCTTTTTCTTAATCATAAATAATTAAGTTGAGAGTATTTTATGTCATAATTAAAATAAAAATTATTGCATGTTATCCACTAAGACTGCTATGATAGTAGATTTTAAATAAATCTTTCATTTAACAGTATTTATATTAACTTTTGTCATGTCTTTATTATAGTAGTCCATAATTTTTTTATAATTATTTTCCTAAATATTATTTTTTTCACGTTTACGAGATACAATACTAATTAATTTACTAGCTCAGTATTAGCTAGTAACTATTTACAAATAATTAGTTCATGATATAGTATGGTGAATTATGTGTCACTTTATTAACTTGATGAACTTAAAAATAAATGATGCTAGAGAATCATATTTAAATTGTGAATTATATTTTTATATAAATTCTTTTTCAAATAGAAAGCATATTAAATAAAAGGAGTATTTATAATATCGAAATTCTTTCAATATTTATTACTCCTTAAGAGATACATATAATATTTCGCATCGAATACATTACTTTTGATGTATGAATTGTAACGATGTTGCAGCTAATTTGCATTATGATGTATGTCACACTTTTTGTATTATTCATAGTTGAATTATAATTTATAAATATTTTAAATAGATTATTTATTATAATTTTGTGATTTTAATGTAATTTTTATAATTATTTTTTCTTTTATAATATCTTAAAATTCTTGAAATTAGTAAAATTTAAAGATCCGTGGGACTTACNAAGTTGAGAATTTTGAAAACAAACCAAAGTACAACCTGGACGAGACAGAAATTGTTAACCTGGAAGATGCAGAAAATGTCAAGGAAATACGGATCAGTGTTCACTTATCGTTATCAGAAAAGAAGGAATACACAGAGTTTCTAAGAGAATATGAGGACATATTTGCCTGGTCATAGGACGACATGACGGGCCTGAGCACGTCTATTGTGGCTCACAAACTACCAACCGATCCAACATGTCCACCGGTAAAGCAAAAGCTCAGAAAGTTCAAACCTGATATGAGTCTGAAGATCAAGGAAGAAGTCACTAAGTAGGTCAAAGCTAAAGTTCTCAGGGTTGTTGAATATCTAACATGGTTAGCCAATATCGTGCCAGTACGAAAGAAGGACGGGAAGGTTAAACTCTGTGTCGACTATCGGGATCTCAACCGGGCCAGTCCGAAAGACGACTTTCCTTTACCAAATATACACATCCAGATCGACAACTGCGCCAAGCATGAGCTGCAATCATTTGTGGATTGTTTCACCGGTTACCACTAGATTTGGATGGATGAAGAAGATGCTGAGAAAATGGCTTTCATTATGCTGTGGGGAATGTACTGCTACAAAATGATGACGTTTGGGTTAAAAAATGCAGGGGCCGCCTACATGAGGGCTATGACTACCATCTTTCATTATATGATACACAAGGAGATTGAGGTGTACGTAGATGATGTTATCATCAAGTCCAAGAAGGCTACTGATCACATGGAAGGCTTGAGAAAAAATTTCAACAGATTGCAAAGGTACAACTTGAAACTGAATCCCGCGAAATGTGCAATAAGGGTTCCCGCTGGAAAATTACTTGGGTTTACTGTGAGCCGCCGGGGAATAGAACTGGATCCATCAAAGGTCAAAGCTATTCAAGAACTGCCACCGCCAAAGAACAAGAAGGACGTGATGAGCTCTTAGGGAGACTCAACTACATCAGCCGGTTCATAGCACAATCTACGGTCATCTGTGAGCCGATCTTCAAGATGTTGAAGAAGGATGCCGCCACCAAGTGGACCGATGAATGCCAGAAAGCTTTCAACAGAATTAAGGAATACCTATCAAAACCACCAGTTTTGGTCCCACCCGAGCCGGGTAGACCTCTACTACTCTACATCGCAGTGCAAGATGGTGCCTTCGGTTGCGTCCTAGGGCAGCATGATGAAACGGGGAGGAAAGAGCGGGCAATTTACTACCTCAGCAAGAAGTTCATCCATATGAGGCCCGGTATTCTCTTTTGGAACGCACCTGCTGTGCTCTGACTTGGGTGGCCCAGAAGTTGAGGCACTACTTCTGTGCCTACACTACATATCTCATTTCAAGGATGGATCCTTTGAAGTACATCTTCCAGAAGCCCATGCTCGCTGGCAAGCTAGCCAAGTGGCAAATCCTGTTGATTGAATTTCACATTGTCTACGTGACTCAGAAAGCAATCAAGGGACAGGCACTAGCAGATCACCTTGCTGAGAACCCCGTAGATGGAGAATATGAACCTTTGAAAACAAATTTTCCCGATGATGCAGATCTTCGATTCTTGAGCAATTATACAAGACATAAACTTTGTCCAATGGATAAGATTGAATATGCAGATCTATCTTCAAATATTGACATTTTGCAAAATAGAATCTTTTGCACAATTGAACAATAATATACAAGCATATCTTTAATCGAATTAAACAAATTGTTTATTATAAATGGTGCATTAAAGTTTTTAAAAGAATTTGATCAAATTAAAATTTCTAGGCTTATTATTGGTAACCTTAGAAATTCTATATGGATGTTATAGAGTGTTAAATTTACAAAGAGTGTATTTCTATAAAGATGAATGTTGTTATTATAGGTAAAAAGCTATTATAGAGATGTAAATATAACATAAAAAATCGATTCCGAAAAAAATACTTATGGCTTTTATAGTGAATGAATGTACATAGAGATATTAGAAAAGTCTGACCGTAATACATATTTTTTTTTTACACTTTTACAGTCTTCATATAGGATTTATGTATATCATCAATTTAATGAATTTCTGCGGTGTAATTTTATCTACTATAGCAGGTTTTTACTTATTTTTAGCTTACTATTATATTACATACAATTACCTACTGCTGCAGATAATTTCAAATTGATGGTGAAAAAAATTGTATATTATCAGAAGTTAAACTCCTCTATAATAGAAGAAAAACTTTTCCCATTTGGCGATCAAAGAAAACTACAAAAATTTGAACAAACAAGTGAAACAATGGTTTGAGTTTTAGTGATTGAGGGTGCGTTTGGTATGAAGTTTTCCTACAAAATATTTTCCATGGAAAATATTTTCCCGGAAAAGGAGTGCTTATATCACTTAGTTTCCTTTATTTGGTTGGTGAGTGAAAAAATTTTCCGGAAAATATTTTTCAGTGTTTGGTTAGAGAATATAAAATATGTATAGGAAAATAATTTCTTATGCTACTCTCTGATGTCGCCCAAATTCACGCCACTAATTGGGATTGTGAAGCGGCCGATGCAATTATAATTACCCAACGTGAGTCGGGGTCGATTCACGGAGAGCTTATATTAGATTAGGTATATATCTAGACTAAGTGTATGACGTGCCCAAAATGCACTTCCACATGTTTGGTTGTTTCTTTCTACTTCTAATTTTTATGCTAAGGTTTATAAATGAAAAGCTAGAGAACGATATTTTTGGTGTTGTTATTGTTTCAAGTTTATAAAAGATCTAGGGTCGTGACTTCCACCAAGGTGGTTACTTAACGGATTGTGGGCTTTAGGCAAGTTTGATTGCTCGGGGTGTAATATAGCAATCGCACGCAATTACCCACTCGATGTCTCTCGGTAGTTAGTGTCACGACCCAAACCGATGGGCCATGACGAGAGCCCGAGTCCTACCTGTCGAACAC